CATGCTGTTCTCTTTACGATGCCTTTTCCTTCTCTTCAGGGAGGTGGAATGGCAGGACAGTAGGCAGATAGCTAGATGGAGCTTGGGACCCAAGAGCCAAGCCAACTTGAAATCTCCAGTGTGTGAGGAAAATGGGCTACGGGAGGACCCAGGATCTCGAGCTGGTGGCCTGAGGGCCAATCCCAGGAGTTATCAAGGAGAGCACGCCACCATTTAGCACAGTTCAGAGCTGGAATGTGCTGCTTTGGGAGGCAGTGAGCTCTTCACTGGAGATGCTCACACAGAGACTGCAATGCCCACATCAGGTGGAGGTTGAGTAAGATGACCTCGAAGACGCTTCCATTTTAAGAAGTCTGGGGCCTTACGAGGCACAGGAGATGGCTGCGGGCTGTGGTCTTTGCCTTTAACTCTTGGACTGCAGTGTCTTCTTTGTCCCTTTTTTCAGCTGCACTTGGTTGCTCTGAACACACCGTTTTCTGGGGACGTTCGAGCTGATTTGCAGTGCTTCCGGCAGGCCAGGGCTGCAGGACTGCTGTCCACCTTCAGGGCATTCTTGTCCTCCCATTTGCAAGACCTCTCCACCGTGGTGAGGAAAGCCGAGAGATACAGCCTGCCCATCGTGAACCTCAAGGTGAAAACGAAGCACTAGTCACCCCTGGGACCGTAGGTTGAAAATAAAGACCTAAAATACACTTTCGATGGAGAGGAGCCTTGTACCCACGTATAAAAAGAGAAAGTGTCAGTGGGGCTCAAGGATGAATTATAAATCAATCCACACACATTCCCAGAGTCCCCACTCTGTCCAGGCTCTGGGTTTGGGGTTGGCAGCTCGGTGTCAGGTGGCTTCTGGGCCTTGAATAATGAGTAGAAATCTAGTCCATCTGCAGGCTGATCATATGATGATTCTAATGGAGTGTTTTGCCTCCACAGGGCCAAGTACTTTTTAATAATTGGGACTCAATTTTTTCTGGCCACGGAGGTCAATTCGATACTCATGTTCCAATATATTCCTTTAGCGGCCGAGACGTGATGACAGACCCTTCTTGGTAAGTGGAGGTGGACGTACAGGGTGTGTGGTATGACATACAGTTTTAGGAGACGTCCTGACAATGGGATGCCTTCTTCAGCTACCCCTCTGGGATGCTGCCAGCATAAAGCCTCAGTGCCGCCATTCGGGGGATGGCGGGCAGGGAGCATAGAGAGGGCCCTGGCCTTGGAACCAGGAGACTTGGGTCCAGGAGTTCAACATGAGACCCTGGGCCAGTCTCTCCCACGCCCTGAGCCTCAGCTGCCTCCCCTGTAAAACAGGCTAGGAAATCATATCATAGGTTTGTTGTAAGACTAAAATGAATCTGTGTGACGACATCTAGCACACAGTAGGCACTTAGTAAGTGGTGAGTGATGCTGCTCCTAGTGATCCTGTAACCCTCAACTGTGAGGTGTACTCTGTTTCCTTGAAAACTGTGTGTGCTTTCAGAGTGGAGCCACTTGACAAACCTTTACTGGGTGCCTACACTATGCGGGGCTCAAAGGTAGGCCCAGAAGACACAGCAATAAGCCTACACGACCCCTGCCCTTATCCTTACAGGGAAAGACAGACACAGACAAGCTACAGTTCTATATAATTATGTAAAGTGCAGACACAGGTAATGTGACAGGAGCACATAGGAAATACTTATTCTTGGGGGCAAAGCAGCCATGGTGGCACAATGGTTAAGTGCTCGGCTTTCCACCTGGGGTTGCAGCCTGAACCCACTGGCTACTCTGGGGAAGAAGAGAGCTGGCAGTCCATGAAGGTGAAGCCTGGAACACTCTATGGGGCAGGCCTGCTCTGTAACATAGACTCAGCAGGAGTCAGATCGGCTTGATGACAGTGGAAACCCAATGGGGCAGTTCTACTCTGCCCTGTAGGGTTCCTATGAGTCAGAATGACTCAGCGGCACATAAGAACAACAACCTGGAGGCAAGGATCAGACCAGGCTTCCTGCAGGAGAAGCCATTTATTGGACTTTGAAAAATGAGAAGGACTCACTGGTCTGAAATTGGAGAGGCCACTCCAGACTAAGGGAGGTCATGAGCAAAAGTTCAAATTCACAGCAGCAAGTGATTTGAAAACAACTGCAAGCTGGCAATGGTGGGAATATAGTGCGTTCAAAAAGTTGGAAAGAGAAAGAGGATAGGAGATAGTTTGGGGTCAGTCCATGGAGGGTCAAGGAGTTTGGCCCTTGAGTTCCTTGTCTTATGCCAGTTCACTCATCAATATATATCACAAAGACGTGTCATTTCCAAATGTAACACAACGAAATTGCTTTTTAGGCCCCAGAAGATCGTCTGGCATGGCTCCAACGCCCATGGCGTGCGTCTCGTGGATAACTACTGTGAAGCGTGGCGAACCGCAGACGTGGCGGTCACAGGATTTGCCTCCCCACTGAGCACGGGGAAGATTCTGGACCAGAAAGCATATAGCTGTGCCAGTAGGCTAATTGTCCTGTGTATCGAAAACAGCTTCATGACAGACGCTAGGAAGTAATGAATGAACTTCCGATGCTGATTCCTAAACATTTCCCAGTTTTCTTATGTGAAAAGTTGACACTGAAATTTAAAATGTTTAAATGTTGTAAATATTACAGTTTTTTATTACCCGTTCATCAGAAAAACAGCCAAAGAAAACGCACCTCAGTACACTCAGAACTGAAGACGTAAAGGACTTGGATCAAAGACAACATCCCACCCACATATTGGTGCTAGATTCTACAGGAAGCCCCGTGCAGTGGGAGCAAACACATCCCCATGCAGGTCACAGCCTTCTGACCACTGCATCCTTCAGAAAGTGATGTCCTCCTTTAACTTTGTTGTTGAGTGTAAGATGTCCTTCGTGTTTTCTTGCAAAGTCAGTGTTTAGAAATGTTACCCTATCTAAGTTATGTGCAGACGGAATGTTTTATTCTTCAACATCCATCCATCATTTGCAACTGCTGTTCCTACAGAGAAACAGAACTGCTCCAATGATCCTCTTTGCATTTTCAGATATTACCAGACTTTCATTTTTTCTCTATTACTGCTGTCACGCTATAGGAATGTTACATTTTTACAAAACCCTATGTCAGTGTGGCGTCTGTTTATATAATTCTGACTTGCTGGAAAAGTCAAAACTCCAAATTATCTGAAACTAGAAAAGAAGTAGCACATAATTATTATTTTCCCTTCTGCCCCAGTTCCCCCCTCAACTGATTTTATGATTTTTGTTTGGCAACTCTTGAATTATAACTGCAACTTTTACTGAAACAAAAAAGCCCACAGGGGATGAATTTTCTGAGAAATGTATTTCTTCATGCTTTGATCTTTATTTTCCATGTAAGTGACCATAAAAACATCTTTCTAAGTGCTTGCTTCTGGTTGACTTTCTTTTGCCCATAGTCCCTGTATTCTCCACCACTGATAGGGAAGCTGGCCTGGGCTGGTGGGGGCCACTCACAACTGGTAACCGGTACCAGTTGCCATCAAGTTGATTGCAACTCATGGTGACCCCGCATATTGCCAAGTAGAATTCTGCTCTGTGGAGTTTCATGGCTATGACTTTTCAGAAGCACACGGCCAGGCTTCCTTTGGAGACACCACTACTGTACTATACTCATTGTTGTCGAGTTGGACCAGACTCTCAGCAACCCCTCCTTGGGTTTCCGAGGCAGTATCATTACAGAAGTAGATTGCCCAATCTCTGGTTGGGTTCAAACCTCCAACCTTTCAGTTGGTAGCTGTGGGGTTAACTGCACCACCCAGGGCCTCCTTCTTCCTTGAGCTGTTGTTATTGTTGTTGCTAGGGTGCCATCGAGTCGGCTCTGACTCATAGTGACCCTGTCTGTGTACAACAGAACCAAACACTGCCCAGGCCTGCACCATCCTCACAATTGTTGCTATGTTTCAGCACATTGTTGTAGCCACGGTGTCAATCCAGCTGCTCAATCCAAAATCTATAGGAGGAAAGAGTGATCGTTAGATTTTATGAAAATCTAACCATTAAAACATACCACCACCACCCTCAACAATTGGTTTAGGATGTTGTTGTTGTTGTTGTTAGGTATTATTGAGTTGACTCCAACTCACAGCAACCCTGTGGACAACAGAACAAAACTGCCTGGTCCTGCACCAGCCTCACAGTCCTTGCTGCACTTGAGCCCTTTGTTGCAGCCATTGTGTCAATCCATCTCATTGAAGGCCTTCCCCATTTTTGCTGACCCTCCACTTTACCAAGCGTGATATCCTTCTCCAGGGAATAGTTCCTCCTGACAACATGACCAAAGTAGGTGAGATGAAGTCTAGCAATTCTCGCTTCCAAGAACATTCCGGCTACACTTCTTCTAGGACATATCTGTTAGTTCTCCTGGCAGTCCATGGTACTTTGAGCATTCTTCGCCAACACCACAAATTAAAAGCATCAACTC